AAATGAGCAATTGCTTTTACTAAGTAATTGGTCAGCTTTACGTGAATAAAATCATAAGAAGTTTACCTGGAATTTTTATTCACGTAAAGTTAAGCAATTAACTTAGTAATTGCTCGGCATTACGTAAATAAAAACTAAATTAAAATTGGTTTAGCTTTTATTCACGTAAAGCTGACCAATTACTGAGTAAGAGCAATTGACTGTTTTTATTCTCCCGGCCTTACGACTATTCCTTAATATTACGCATTCGTACCAATATGTAAAATTTAGTTTAATGCAAACAATATTTCCCCAATATTGGCATAATTTTTTCATAAATTTATCTTTCATAGTCGCGCAACACTGGAGGATTACAAGAGTCAGTTGGATTTAATTTCAGGTGTTATTAATACGAGGGCGTTGCTGAATTTATTGTCCTTGGTGACTTTCAATCTTTTCCTCACGGAATATATGATTCATTAAAGAGAGCTAGCTCTACGAAAAATAACTACTCCGTAGTTTTATTAAGTCGAATAAACTTGAATTAGTGGACGTAACAAAAGGCTCTGGACCTAACATAAAGTATCACCATAATACATTACCAAACGCATCTTACATAGATCACATAGCTTTCTCAAACTATACGTCTCTTTTTTATTCCAATTGTTTCGTAATTCCTTTTTTATCTCAAAACATGAGTGATCATTTACCAATATTGATTGAAGTTGGAATTATTGGACAATCTTCTCAAGAAAACAATCATAAAAACTCAGACAAGTACAGCATTTACAATTATATAACAATAGCTTAAATACTAATTTTAATTTTCACAATTTTACGAATGACAATTACGATGAGGAACTTATCAAAGTATATACTGTTATTACAAAGGCTCTGAGGCACTTAATCAATATTTATCCATGAAAACACCGTCATTGTATTCAAAATCCTGGTGGAGACCCGAATTAAGCCGTAGCAAAAATGTTCTTTCATTTTATTTTAAAAAACGGCGGGAATCTGGGTTCGTTAAAAACTTAAACTCGCAAATTTTTATTTGATACCGGATGGCACGAAAAAATTTCCGCAATGCAGTAAAAAATGCTCAAAATAAAAACCTGTACAAAGAATACATAAAAATCGAAACATTAAAAAATACAAATCCAAAATATTTTTGGAAAAATTTCAGAAATACAATAAATGATGCAAATTCGAAATTGTATATCATAAATAATAAAAAAGATAAAGACTCGAACACGACAGAATTTGCCTACAGTTTTGAAAATCGATTAAACTCTAAAACAATCACATATACCTCTACAAATTTAAAAATTCCACCTTGCACAAAATTCGACGAGGTAATAATATCGGATGAAAATATAAAAACGATTATTTCTTGCCTTAAATTAAACAAATCCAAGACGCCTTCGGAATATCAGCTGAATATTTAAAGAATGCGAGCTGTGAAGCACTAACAGAATGGCTCAGAAAAGTTTTTAACTTTTCTATTAATCATGGACAGACCCTAAAATCGATGTCTACATCACTTATAATACCACTTACTAAATCGTATAAAAAATCCTTAACTGATCCAAATAACTACCGCGGCATTAGCATCATTCCAATCTTTACGAAACTAATAGAATATCTTATCCTACTAATCTGTTCAGAAATAAAAGAAACTCATCCTCTTCAATTCGGTTTTACTAAAAGTAGCTCAACCCTACACGCTGAACTTGTTATTAGTGAAACAATTAAACACTACAACAACAACAACTCGCCTGTATATCTCTGTTCCCTAGATGCTGAAAAAGCGTTTGACAGCTGCAATTGGGACATTCTGTTTGAGAGACTGTACAATGATAAAAAACTCCCTCTGTATATTGTTAATACCATATCGTCATTATACTACGAAAGCAGTGCTTCTGTTTCTCATCTAGATTGCAAATCATATCCTTTCTATCTAACGCAAGGAGTGAGACAGGGATCTATTCTTTCGCCTCATTTGTATAACATTTATACTCAAAACCTACTAGAAAACTTACAATCAATGGTAAATATACGGGTGTTGTAGCATATGCTGATGACATTATACTCCTTAGCTCCACTCTCTCTGGCCTACAAAAGCTTATTAATATATGTAATATGTACACACACAAAAACGGCATAAAATTGAATGCTGACAAAACCGAGTTCCTGCTCACCGGAAAAAAGCAAATTAAAAACTGCACAATAACTTTCAACCACCAACAAATAAAACTTCATGATAAACTTAGTCATCTAGGCTTTACATGGGATACAAAAAGTTCCTCATTTGCCTCACTTAATAAATCAAACATTGATCACCGAGTATCTAATTTCCGGACGGTAATCCAAACCTTAATTCAATCAAGAATCCGTTTTGCTCACCCAAACTCCATTGTTCAGTTATATAAAACTTTAGCTGTTCCAACACTAACGTATGGTCTTGAGCTGTGTGAACATAAAAAAATGTTAATGCAAAAGCTTGATATAGTTGGAAGAAATGCACTTAAGTCACTCCTCGATGTTTCAAAACATAGCAAAAATTATATTCATACCTTATTTTTTATTGAAGATATATCAATTATTATACAACAAAACAAGCTAAACTTATTTATTCGTTTGATGAACAATAAAATGACATATGACATTATTAGGTCGCAGCTGAAAAACATTACAGCCCCGCAATATTTTTTAGATAGTATCAAAGGGTTGTGCAATAATCATGAACTAAATCTGGAGACAATAATGGAAAGTAAAAAAAAAATAAAAATTGTCGGCCTCAAAAATTTAATTCCTGAAACGGATCTTCAATCTCTAAAATGTGCAGTTGAGTACTGTAACTTAAAAGAGCAGAGAACTATCTTTAAGGACATTCTTGAAAAACATATTCCAAGATGATCACGTTGAAGCAAAACAAAAAAAAAAAATTCCAAGATTTTTTATATTTATTTTGTATGAAACTCTTAATTTACCTTACTTGTATAGTGGGTGTTTAATAAATCTAAAATAAATAAAATAAAATAACAGTATTAGTAAAACGATAATGGGATAATATTGGCGCAATATTGTTTGCCAATATTGGTAAGACAATATTGGCGTAATATTGCTTGACTATATTGGCGCAATATCGGATATCTTGGTCGAGATTAGCCAAGATACCCAATATCGCGCCAATATTACGCCAATATTGTTTGCTACTTGGGTAGTATTCTATAGTATTCCTACTTTTCATGTATGAAAAGCTGTTTTTATCAAATGAAAATGATAATAGCTCTTCATACAAAGTATGACAAAAGACTCTTTCCGACGTCGAGAAAAAAAACTCTTTTAGATGTCAATATAAAAGAGGAATCATTTTCTACATCTTTTATATGTTAAAAATATGGAAAATAATTTATAAATAAAACAACAGTATTGTTCAACAGAATATTTTTTCATCTTTCTCTTTCTTTTCTGTTTCTTGAACAAGCTCTATTTCTTGGAGTTGTTGAATAAAATTAACTACTTCACGTCGAGAAATCCTTTCATACGAGCTGGTTACAATTTCTAGCTGGTTACGACTTCTAAAAAACGTGTAAACATAAAAAACAGTCTATTGCTTGAATGTAATACAAAAAAGCAAATGAAACTTGATTAGCTGAGAAGAAAATATTAGGCTTACCGACTACTAATTCAAAAAGGGCTGATCCTTTTAACCCGTTCATGTTTCCAGCGCGGTCTTTTTGAACCCACTAGGTTAGATTGGGACAGGAGTCAAACGGTAAACAGTCTAAAAATATATAAAAATGAGTGTGCTAAAGAAATTTACGACCATCAAAATGACTGTACAACGATGTATTTTATTATGTAGTACTTAAACCAAGCTAAAAATTTGCACCTCTCAGATTTGCTATTTTCCTGTCTTCTATGACATGACTTGTTAATTGAATTGCGCTGAAATTAAGTGTTGCAGACTCATAAGAATTTAAGAATCTGATATTGACAACAGACTATCAAAACGAAAAGATAATTCAGCTAATACACCTTGAGAGTTGTTATTCATTTAAACTGGATAAAAGTATTAATCAAAGCTCTATTTTAGCCTGAAACATAATTTACTTAACAACATAAAATCATAAAAACTGGCGATATCATTAGCAACACAATTGTAATACACATAAACAAAAACGAAGACTAGAAAGCTGCAATGATGTTTAGATATAAAAAAGTGTACCTTTCCAGTATCATTTTCAATCAAAGTGTCCTTAACTACATCGAGAATTTTTTTTTTTAAGTTGATTTAGGTGCCCCAAGAAGTCCTTTCGGTCTTATCACAGAGCACCGCGGAAAAGCATTTAATAGGAAGTTCACGCCTCCTTCCCAACCGATGTCGCAAAACTTGCCCAGAGGTGGGGTTTGAACAACGGGTCTTGCGTCCCTGAGTCAAGTTCGCTACCACTGCGCCACGGCTGCTTAAAATGTCGCTTATCTGGCAAGAGCCGGCATTGAACTTTAGAACTTTTAATTCAGAGCCAGAACTCTTATTATCGCACCACGGCTGCCTAATTGTAGCCATTAAGATCAACTAACTATTTACCGATTGTGTATTGTTTATTGGGTAAGCGGTAAACAACATTTAATGTTGTTTAAAATTATGTATATAAAAAATAGCGCGTATATATGCGCTAATTTTGTAAAAAAATTTAGATGTTTTTGTTAAAAAAAAATTTATTCGTCATCAAAAATAATTTATTTATTTAAATAAGCAATATTATTTTTTGCGTTGAATTAAAACAAAATAATGCGCAATTTAACAATAGAAGTTATTATTAAATAAGTAACGTTAGCCGGACGCGAATTTCTCTTGTTGGTTGCATTTTTCTTAGGCAATCCTTATAATAAAATTTTGTTACTTAAATGGGCATAACTTTTTTTAGAATTTTTCGTTTTTTATGAAATTTTCACCATTGTAATACTAAATTAAAGCTCTTTTTAATGATATATAATATTTATATATAAAAATAATTTAAAATTTTTACACACGTAAAAATTGTACCTACATTAAAATAATTATTCTACGTCGTTTTCCGCAATAATTATTATTGATCGTAAACATTTTTATTTGCAAACTTGCGGTTTTTGAAGCGAACAAAGACTTGTTTTTGCTGCTTAAAAATATGCAACTTTGATATATTTACTTAAAAAAGTTTTTGTTATTATTGTTTTTTATTATTATTAAACGAATACTAATGTTACGAAGGATAAAGGTTCCGAAAAGTCAATAAAAAACAAAAGGATTATTTTAAATAGTTGAGCGGAAATTTAAAAGTTACAAGCTAAACGTTTACAAAAGGTATTATTGTTATTACTTCACTAAAAAACATTTGCAAATGAGAATAAAATGTCTTCGAAATCTAGTTTAGGAAATGAAAATAAAAATAAAGTTCGACAACTTGTAGATTACCAAAAGAGTTATATTTTACGTTTAGAAAGATTTTTGAAAAAAATATTCAGAAAGTTGAAATAATTCTAAAATAATAAATTTAGTACAAAATCAACTTCATGTATATCAACAAATTTAACTTTTTTTCCCGGCATCTAGCACTACATAGATTAGTTGACCTTGTTATACATTATGTATATTTAAATTTAAAGCATTGTTAGGAATTGAAGAGCGTTTTTCTAAAAAAAACGCATATTTGTTGTTTTGAAAAAAAAAAAAAATTTTCAGTCAAAGTATTTTTTTGAATCTCAATGGTTTTGTAATCATCAATTAAAATGGTGAACATTTTTTTTATTCAAAAATGGTGAACATTTTTTTTATTCATACTATCATGGTTAGGTTTATACTTTTTTCAATAAAGAATCAAAATGTTAAAAAAAAAATTTATTTTGTAAAAAATTTACTTTATTCTTTTATAGACGCTAATTAAATAGTTTCTTCTAGTTGTTTGTGTACTTTTGAAACGAGTAGTTGGTTTTAGGATACCCGGATGTATCAAAGTAACAATACATACCACTGTACGCATATTACCTGCAGGTAATATAATTAAAATAATTTTTTTAGGTCAACTCTAGGTTGTAAATAAATAAAAAAATTTAATTAAAAACAATCATTTGCGAATCTAATGGAACAACTCAGCTTACATTAATGTTAAAAAACTTATCTATAACAGATTAAAATTGAATCACACAGGTTTTAACAATAACTGATTGTTATATATTGGATTTTATTTTTTATCTTTTTAGAATGAATATGATAATCACAAACAACATAACACTAAAAAGGTTTTATCACTAAACGCCGGTTTACTTTATCTTTAAAATTAGTTTAGTGATTTTTTTTATGTATTTTTAAATATGTTTATAAACATTTTTGTTTTTAAATGTTTAGCCTGTTTTTAAGCATATTAAAAGTTTATCCATAAAAATCAATTGAATGGTCAAGCAACAATCTAAGGGCGCTAGAAATTCCACTGAATTGCAGAATGCTTGCGATATTACAGAGATTCAGAATTCAAACAAGCCTCTTTTATCTGAAGGTAGTATTAATATTTGTTTTTAGTAACCGTTAAAACGGGTGCTACCCATAAGTAGCACTTTAAACTACATTATTGCGTTATTTTGTTTATCGTTTTTCCGACGGTTATAGCTATTTGCATGCCTCTTTTATTTGGTATTTTAAACTTATATAATTGGTATTCTTATATAATTTAGTAAACTTATTACTAAAATTTTTTTCGATGATTAAAGATTTGGAAAAAATCCATCAGATATAGATTAAAAAACCGAGATCTCTACAAATATGACAAGATTTCGGACAAGGGGTCTTCCGTAAAGTAGGCCACCCTACGTCCTACCCTACCCTACGTCCTACCCTACCCTACGGACACCCTAGTGTCCTAGGACACCCTAGTGTCCTACGCCACCCTATACTTAACCATTACAAGTAGGAGAACATTTATTCTCGTACCTAGAGAACTCATTGAACAAAAATTGTTTTTAAATCTTAGAAAATTTTAAAATTTTCAAAAATGAGAATTGTAATTTCACATCAAATTACATATACAAACTAATAAACTTTGAACTTTATATAATTATACTTTAAGCACTTTAAAAAGTTTATTTATCTTTTATATTTGTTTTATTCAATCCTTAAAAATTTATAACGGGCTATTTTTTGTGGGGTTTTTGTGACAAATCAAACGGATATTTACATCCTATCTAAAGTCTTTATTTAGAATTTTCGCTATACTTTGTAAATCGAAAATATTGAACTTTATTTAAAATGTTAAAAAAAAAAAAAAAAACTAAATAAAAACTAAATAAAATAAAAATACATACATGTTTTTATTATTACGCGCAATCATACATTTTTTACACACAATGAATTTGTTACAAAATTTTGTTTTTATCTGTTGTATTAAAAAAAGTATATAAATTCTACGTCATTAAGTTATATTAAAAACATTAGTTATATTAAAAACACTGAAACGCATACATTTTTTTATTATTACGCGTTTGTTTTTTTGTTTTGTTGCTCTTAGCGTAAATTGAAATGTTGTTAAACTTATTGTTAATATATTACTAGAAAAAATCGATTTTTATCCGGAGATCTCATTTCAGATATTTTATAATTTTGCTGTGGTATATTGTAAAAAAAAAAAAAAAAAACATAACATTTTTTTTATCTGTTTTGTCGCTTTGGGTTGTGTTTTCTGAAAAAACTTTTTAAGTGGAATTTTAACTAATTTTTGAGAAAGAATACGGCTTAAAACTGTTTTAGCCACTCATAAGTCATTTTTAGCCTTTCATATGTAAATTAAATGCATTACAGTAATTCAAAATAGTAACGTTATGTGGAATTCTAATGTTTTTCTAAAATTGTTTGAGGCATCTGCATCCTAATAGCTGAATATCATGCGTGGTAGCATTTTACGTTATTCGATCATGCAGCCCTGTTCTCATGTGCAAACGCAACCATAAAATACCGCACAATGTATCACTTGTCGTTTACAGTTTTTTGTTACATCTATGCCAACAAATTTGTGATTTTTCATAGTGCATTTGAAGATTACATAAGGTAAGCAGAAAAGTTACCTGTGTTTTAACAGATAAAGTAAGTGCTGTACACTTAGTTTATCAATTAAAAATTGCGTTTTATTAATATAACAGGATGCAAGTTATAACTAGTCAGTTCCCTAAATGTAGAATGCAAGCTAGGGGAGTATTTCACATTGACAAACTATATTAAATATTCATCTTTTTGATTGAAATAAGTTCACATATTCCGTTTCATTGTTTCTTTTGTGGAGCTGATAATACTATAGATTAATATTACAACAAAACTGCCTATTCCGCATTAAGTAATTTATGTGTTCCACATAAGGAGATAAAAAATAAACTAAGTTTTAAATAATTTTTTTTTATATAAGTAATCACAGCAACATTTAAACAAAACAAGAAACTGTCCTATAAACTTTTGATATTATGTGTTGATAATACTATGCTTTATTATTATTTTTTTTACATGATTAGGGATTGCAGTCCCGGAGGTCTTTCTCAGTCCCAGTTTTTCAAGATTGAAAATTATTAATCCCGAAAAAGCAGATATAACTACATATATATAGTATTAAATAGCATAATAAAATTATTTATCAAAAGAAGGCAGTTTAAATTACATTGTTACATGTATGAGAAGAAAAACATGTTTACCTAACGTGTTAATTAATGTAAAGAAATTATGTTAGAAATAAGAAAATATATTATACTTTATGTGCGTTGAAATGTGACTTAAGGAAGCACCTAGAGTTTCATCGCCTAAACAGTTACAGTCCAGCGAAAGAAAATGCCTGCTCAGCATCAACATTTGTCGGTTTCGTGGTCATTAGAAATGAAGAAACTCTTTCTAAATAACCACCAGCGATTCTACCAAAAGTTTTTGATTTTAAATGAAAAAGACACTAATTTTTTTTTATCAACTTCAACGGAGCCTCGACCATTACGCAGGTATGTCAACTCATAATAAAATTGTATGCATTTCCTTCATTATGTTATTTTCAGCATCTTTTAATTTTTTAAGCGTAAAATTAATAGCAATTTTGGCTTTAAATAGGTTAGAGTCTCGGCAACCGTTGCTTTAATGGGAACTAAAACTGTAATAATCTCTCATATTATTATTATCACTTCATTATGTGACTGAGCTATATAATTATCTTGGACTGGGTAAATATCAATTAATGATTTTTGTATAGAAATGTAAAGTTGTTTAAACATTAACAGATGGCTACTCTAGCATTAGTTCTCAACTCAAGATAGTTGTGTTCCAAATTAGGCTTTAGTATATTTTTGAAAGATGTTGTTCTTGGTAGGTGATCGTCTAAGTATTAGTATGATTTGCGTACTTTTTTTATGACTGGCTTCAGGGGCGCACGGAGACTTCATGGTGCCCAGGGTATATTATTAAAAAAACTGGATGCCCCCCTCTAACCACCACCAAAATAAAAATAATAATTAAAATAAAGCTATTTCTAGTATTCAGAAAAAATTTAAAAATTCTGTATTTAAGACAGTTCACGAATTAAACAATTGAACACAACAAAGAAAAAAACATTTCTGAATTTGGTATCAAGTTTTTGTGACATTATACCAAGACTTTACGAGCAGCAAAGTTGGAAGTTACAGCATCGTAGTTAATTTTCTTCACAACATCTGTTTCGATTGAAAGGATAAGACAGTCGTTTAGACGATCCTGCCCCATGGTAGCTCTGTCGCGCTCACTAGCGCGGCAACGACTTCTTGTTATTTGTGTTATATTGTCAGCGGTTAATCCCACGCTTTCTCTCTAACTCTTACTCTGTTTCTACGCAAACGTTGTAACTTCTAGAGCACGTTTATACATTATTGTACATTATTATACAAGATTATATTAGTATACATATTAAAACAGTATGGTTTGTGAATGAACCACACAATTTGGAGCCCACGGAAAATAAATATTGACATTTGAATACAAAGATTCAAAAGATTTAAACAGATTAAAAGATTAAAGAACAAGAAAAAAGTTAAGTTTTATTTACATTTATTTACTATTTACTTGTTATTATAAATTATAATACTTAGGATTATTGTATTAAGTATTAAGGAGTATTAAGTGAACATTTTGAGCTTATCATTGTATCGAACATTTATAAAGTTATTATATTAACAATCATTAAGATTTAAGTAAGAATATATAATATTTGTCACTTTAGTAATTATTTACCCAATCAGGAAGGATTTGGGACAGTTAACGTTTTGCAAATAAGTATCTGTAAGTTTTATTTTTCAAAAAAAATGTCAACTATTCAAGGCAAACGTAGAATTAGAACAGTTAACATAAAACTTTTATACAAATTATTCGAAAAATCTTTAGAAATTATTAACAACACTGACGATGAAAACCAGTTTAGTAACCTTAGTGACTTAAAAGACACTTTAAACGAAAAATACAATAAAGTCATCCAATTGGATGAAGAGATAACCTTACTGATTGAGGATGAGGACGAGTTAGAAAATGAATTAGAATCTTCTACAGAATTTAATCTAGTATTCAAAAGTGAAATTTCTAAAATTAATAAAGAGTTGAAGAAATTCGACATTAAAACTGACTGCAATAGTACATTTAGTAACTTTAAAAACAAGACAGTAAAATTACCTGTTTTAAAATTAGATAATTTTGATGGAGAACCTGAAAAGTGGACATCTTTTATAGAAAATTTCGAATGTGCTATAGATATGAACAATGATCTGTCAGGAATTCAAAAAATGACTTATCTTCGAAACTTGCTAAAAGGTTCAGCTTTGTCATCTATTTCAGGTCTCAGTTTATCCAATGAAAACTACAAAATAGCTTTAGACATCCTTAAAGAGCGTTATGAAAATAAGCAGAATATGATATCATCCCACATGAGAAAACTACTGTCATTTGAAAGAGTGCATAGTTTAAATAAAATTGAAAAATTAAGACATTTATTAGATAATATAGAAATACAAATAAGGAGCCTCGAAACTCTTAAAATTACAAGTGAAATGTATGGACCATTACTTGTTCCAATAATACTACAGAAAATACCTGAAGAACTGAACTTAATTATAAACAGACAACTTGATAAAAACAGTTCATGGGATGTCTTAACCATCATTAACATTTTAAAATCAGAATTACGTGCAAGAGAACAAGTCTCATTAAATTTAAATAACAGTGTTGATAAAACTTATACAACTGAAACATTTTTTACAAGTAACAACTATGAAAAATTAAATTTTAACAGAAACCCTCGTCAATTTAATTACAGTAAGAAAGCTAAAGAAAATTTATACTTTGATAGAAATAATCCAACCAATATACCACAATTTATCAAATGCCTTTTTTGTGACAAATCACATAAATCACAATACTGCAAATTCATAACAGACATTCAAAATAGAAAATGAATAATTAGTGAAAAACATCTGTGTTTTAAATGTTTAGGAAGTGGTCATACATCAAAGAATTGTACAT